TGCAACACAGAGGAAAAATGTCCAACAAACATGGTAGAGGATTTAGTATTTAAAGACAGAGTATTTGGCCAATAACCGTTAGCTAAGAGATGAAGAGTACTCAGTAGCTCACATACAGTGAGTTCTTCTGTTCTTGAATGTCATCGCCTGGTGGTGTGCCATCTATCCTGGATGCTTGTTCAGAGGGCTATACAGGTTATTTCAGGTCAGCCAAGTGTTATGCTTACTCTAAACATCATACATCACAGAGAAGTACTTGTTTACTCATTCCTGGTAGCTTATTGAGTAAGAAAATGTGTTAAGAGAGGGAATCACATATAGGTTATTTTAGGTATGGCATGTACCTAGCAAGTTTGGAATACAGAGAAAGAATAATATTTTTATCATCAAACAAGGCAAATTGACCAAACAATAATTACAGTAGTACAAGATGAGGCTGAGCACAGTGGCTCATGCCTATAATCCTAGTGCTTTGGGAGGCCAAGGTGGCAGGATTGCTTGAGAAAAGGAGTTTGAGGCCAGCCTGGGCAACACAACGAGACCCGTCTCTACAAAAAGTACAAAACATTAGCCAGACACGGTGGTGTGTACCTGTAGTCCCAGCTACTCTGGAGACTGATGCAGGAGGGAGGATTGCTTAAGCTCAGGAGTTCGAGGCTGCAGTGAGCTATGATCATGCCACTGCACTCTAGCCTGGGTGACACAATGAGACCCTGTCTCTAAAATAAATAAAAATAATTACAGTAATACATAATACAGTAAAAGATAATGTAGGGCCGGGCGTGGTGGCCTATAATCCTAGCACTCTGGGAGGCCAAGACGGAAGGATCTCTTGAGGTCAGGAGTTTGAGGTTGCTGTGAGCAAGGCTGATGCCACAGCACTGTAGCACAGGCAACAGAGTGAGACTCTGTCTCAAAAAAAAAAAGAAAGATAATGTAGGAAATACTTAGACAGTACAGTTAGAATATAGAGTGCTAACCCGGGATATTCAGAGGTGCCTTCGCCGAGGGATGTGATTTTTCCATGCCTCTTTAAGCTGAGACTTAAGGAGCAAGTAGGGATTAGTCAGACAGCAAAAGAGCAGAGGTTACCACTTGAGCAAAGACCTGGAGGTCTGAGAGAGTCCAACACCTAGCAGCTGGAGCATCTGGGATAGTAACCACTGGCCACATGTGGGTATTAAAATTATAACTTAAGTAAAGTTAAAAATGTGGTTCTTATTTGCACTAGCCCCACCTCAGCTGTGGCTCAAGGCTTGAGCTGAGCACAGCACCAATGGAGAACGCTTCCCTCATGGCAAAAAGGGCCCTGGAGGTGCTCTCTGTGGAATGCGTGGGTGACGAGCGCTGCTGTGACCTGCCAGGAGGAGGAGGGCACAGGAAGCAGGTCAGGGTGCAGCCAGCCAGGCCAGAGCGTCATGCTCAAGAGTTTCTTTCATCCTCCCAAATATTTCCTGCAGGTCTTGGCATCCCAGATGAAAAATCTGCATTTATCTTTGGCTTGGCGAGACTCGTCTGGGTCTATGTTCTCTGAGGCACACACGGTACTTGTCTGAATTAGCATCCCTAGAGCTTGAAGCATACATTTCACAAACTGCCACCCTGCTGATATGATCCTCGTCACATAAGGTTGTATAGCACAACCTTCCACTCTGAACCTTGAGGACCTCACTGATTTCCAGAAGAGACATATTGTGTGAAAGCTAAAAAAACTATAATGAGCAGAATTCCAAAGAGAACTTTATCTTAAGCTCTAAATGGGAGGTTCTTTGTGTCATCCTTATTTTATATACGCTTTATAATAATATAAAGGGATTTTGAAAATGTAGTAAGTTTGAGTTTTTCTTCTCTATTCTGAGTAGCACAAGAGGAGGATCAGTCCCACGGAGGCAGTGATCCTCAATTCTTTCAAAACAACCCTTGTTTTAGTGTGATAGGGGTGCACTCATAGTCTGATTCTGTTCTTTATGTTACAGCTAACGGTGGGACCCCAAAGGTAGCATAGCTCAGCAGGCAAAACAGCTTGCAAATCTGTTTTTTATTCTTTTATACTTCTGTTGTAATGGATTCCCATTTGTTACCTTATATAAAAGCCTGCTCTCCGATGACAGGTTCAGTCAGTATAATAAAGGGCTGGGAATAAAATGCAGATACACCTGTAGAGATCCAAACACATTTTCATTTTTCTGTACCACAGATAGTTTTCATGAAGATGGACTGACTTAAGTATATCTAAGGATTCAGTTCACCTTGACAGTAGAATTATAAGCAGGTTTTAAAATATTTTATTTGACAATTTCATTTGTCTCAGTGGGTGACAACTAGATATTGTGAATAATATTAACAATTGATAATAAATAGTTTTTATTATCATTAAGCCTCTAGTATATGCTGAGCATTGTGTCTTATGTTCATTAACACTGACTGATTCACACACAAAAACCAAAAACTGCAAAGTAGATGTAAATACGTGTATTTCACTTGTGAGGAGACTAGCGCTCTGAGAGTTGAGGAAAATAGAATGATAGTCCTGTGTCTGTACCACGAGTACTACAAAGACATTGGAAGCAGTGATGTAGATGAACATCTGATAACTTGGAAAGATGTTCACAGTGTACTGTGAAGTGAGTGAAGCAGGTAGCAAACCCTGCATTCAGCACGGTGCCATGTGTGCTTTACACACGCACACATGCACACACTCCCACATTCACAGGCAAAGGGGTAGAAAGATCCAGTGAGAACATCACGGGATGAGCAGTGCATCTTCGAGTTCTCGCTCACCGCGTGCTCCGTGCTTTCAGGGTGTGAAGGAGCTGTGCCTGCTGCTGCTCGCCCGGTCCCTCCTGCTGCCGTCCCTGAAGCTCCTCCTGGAGAGCCCAGATGAGCACCTGCACGCAGTGGCGTTGGAGCAAATTGCCGCTGTCACCACGGTATGCCCAGTCAAACTTACTTTTTCTTGTGTTTCAAAGATGTGAATTAGCACTTTCATTCTCATAAATGATAACCGTGATTAATTTAAAACTATTTATCTATAGGATTCTTTGACCACAATAGATGCTTCTGTTTTGTCTAAGCAGTATGTATTCGTTTATTGATCAAACATTTACTAAGCTCTTCCCAGGAACCAGATGCCGTGTTTCAGTGCTGAGAATGCAAATCCAACTAAAGAAATGGTTTTTCTAGAGAAGCAGTGTATTAGTCTCTTTAAAGAAGACAGAGCAGCCATAGACTAGCAGACTAGTCCTCTTGCCACTTGAAATTTGGGTCTAAAGAACTCCTTAGCATCAGACAAGTTTTCTATCCCTGTATGTATGAGTTTGGTTATCTACTAATTAAAGGTGAGAGAGTGGTTTCAAGTAGTGTTTACTGGCACCATCTGAAATCTCAAACGCATATTTCCTCTGGCAACCTAAACCAACCCTGAAGCAGCTTCTTGGCTTGAAGGATGATGTACTAAAGTCAAGTCTTCAGATTTCCTCCTCAAGGCTGGTGGTCTTGTTCTTATGATTGAGGAGGAAACTTTCTCTTCCCATTTAAAATCTTCTACTTTGGGATTAGATAGCTTAAGGTTGTGTTTTAATGAACTCATATTGCATGATCCTCACTGAAACCCTTTTATATAGGGAGATCATTCTTTCATTTTAATTATGTGTGTCTGTGTGTGTGTGTGTACAGACAGTATACACATTTACAGAATACATATGTATAATTTTACATTATATATATATA